TTAACAGCAGTTGCATTGTCTTTCTCTGTTGTTTATGTTCACAGACATAACTGACTGTTTATGTGAGCTTTGTGTGTTTTTGACAAAAGAAAGAAAGTTGTTTTGCCATTATTGTGGCGCCGGTGTCACTGAGAGTTTTCCTGTCGGAACCCCCAGCAACCATAGCAACCAATAACGCTACTGCGTTCATCTACCGAGTCCACACAGCCCAGTTCTTTAGACTCATTAACCCACAAGAAGGCTACTAGTCAGGTGCTGGCGGCGGCCGCTTCTTGCTCTCTCTCTCTCTCTCCCGGTCAGCCTGATGCGGGTTTACCCACCGATCTAACTGCGATATTATTATTTTTGCTTACTTTATTTCCAGGTGAACTGTCTTTACTGCTGACTAGCCTGAATTGTCTACACTGGTTTGTCCAGCCTTTATTGAGCTCTGTTGGTTGAACATGCTGATTTGCCGAATATAAAGTTTTAACTGTTTTTGCAGTTTGTCTATTTATTATTACTGAAGTAATTTTTTTTCTATTCAACTATAGGCCCACTCACATTTTCACTCACATTCACCACTGCGGCAGTTAATGGGTCAAGCAGACACAGTTATCGACCAATGCCAACAATTTCCCAATAGCCACATAATCAGCCTGATTGATACATTGGTCTATCATGATCATTGAGTCCCTGAGTGAATTAAGTTTGGTTTTGAACACTTCAAAAATATAATTTTTTTTTAACAAGAGGATGGTTTAAAATGTCCCTGAACATTTTCCAGAGTGGAGGCTTGCCGTTAATCACTTATACCGTTTGCAAGTTCAGAAACAAGCAAGTGAAACCAAGGATATGACAGCTTTCTGAGCCCACAGGAATTCATACGCACGTGTTGATAAAGGTGCAAACTGCAAAGGCAGTAGGCACTAATCACTAATGCAATCCAAAAAATAAATAAAAAATTCCTGATGTAATTTATGTGATCAGGGTTGGAGCTAAACTCTGCAGGACAGAGGCCCTCCAGGACTGAATTTAAGGAACCCTGCTCTAATGCCTGGACACAGTCAGAGATTACTTTTTGCAGGAGACACAATGAAAAATTCAGACCAAACCTCTGAGCATAATATGAATCCAAAACACAAACCAGTGTCCAAGGCACACAATTGAGCTATTTTTCCTGGAAGAGAACACACATCATTGTTCCTGTGTTTACACAGAACTATATTAGAGTTATATTTATCACCAAAGGCATTTCCAAACCACTAAATGCAAAAACACTAATGACAGTTGTAGGGTGGTAAATAATGTGCACTTCAAGATAATAAGTGATTAGCATGACCTTAAGTCACGATGAAACAGAAGTTGTGAGAGATATTGTGAGTGTAATGGGTTAATGAAAAAGAAAAAAATGTAAGGCGATTATTTGGATATCCATCGGTTGTTGATTGGATTGTGAGATGTGGCTGTTGCATCTAAAAAAATGAATGTAAGCTTGCAGAGAAGTCCAGCACATGACCAGGCAAAAGTCAAGTTTTTTAAGACAACGAATTACGAATAATTATTACATGGTCTGAAAAATGATATTGCAATAAAAACACATACAGGGATGAAAGGTTCACAATAAGATAACCTGCATTTACAAAACCCTCAAGTACAAAGAAATCACAAAGAGAGCGAGAGAACAATCTTCTCAGCATCCTATTTCTTCAGTCAGTCTGCATGTGCATCACTGTCACTTGGCAGCTTTAAAAACATAAAATCTAATTTGTTGGCTATGTGAAGCTCATCGTGTCTTAAATCTAAACCTCATTAATCTATAATGCTGTGATGTATTGTGAAGTGGAGACAGGGAGAGTTTAATACACGATTTAGATGACAGTCCAAACAGAGCATGATTGCTGAGCTGACTACATGTATTATAAGCCATAATAGTAGCAAATGACCCCAGATAAGTAGGATGATTCCACATATTCTGGAAGAAATGTCTATTTTCCAGTATTTGGTTATGTGCGGCATTGTGTGTGAGAACGTGCAGTGTGAGCTAAACCCCCAGGAAATTGGTACAGGAGCTAGAGCCAGGTAAGAGAACATCTGCTGAAGGGAGATATAATAAAACACACACACACACACACACACACAACCACAATCCCAACGTTAATCACCTCTCTGTTAATGGAGGCTATTTGTGTGGACGGATATAGCTAGCAACAGCCTGAGTGCGAATGAGCACATCAGTATGAACGTATGTGGATCTTATCAGATGGATAAAATAATGTATCGAGGAATGATTGTACACGCAAAGTATTTTTTTCTTTGTACTGACATCAGCAGCAACATCCAAAAACACAAGGGTAAAAACATATGGACTCACACAACTGATCATTCCTGCAGGTATAGGCAACAGGAATATGTACTGCATGCTTTAAAAAACAGCTTAGGTTACATCAACTCTTACCTAATCACTATTATATAAATCAGCACCAGATAAATGCGAATATCATTCTCCTGTGGGAATTATTGCAATTCCTCAACATGACTAAAAAGGAGATTCAGTTACAAACAGTTCTTAAAAAAAAATGAACACATACAGTCCCCGTGGGGACCACCTAACATATCACTAGTGAGTTAATTCATTGGACTCTATGAACAATCGCTTCCCTATTTTGTCTCAGCAAATAGCCAATTCCTTGCCACCGCTACAGGGAATTGTAAAAAAAACTGAAGTGTCCAACAACAGAATAAACAAAGCAATGTTGAATTGATATGATCCACCTTTACGCAAAATGTATTCAAAGTTTCTGGAAATCATTACGAATATAATATACTAAAATGTTGTTTACTATAGACAACACTATAAATATTATTAGAGACGTACCGATGTATTGGCTGGCAATATTTATTGGACGATTTTCAATCAATTTAAAAACCTTGGTACATCAGCTATAACATGATTTATTAATTAACTGCGTGTAGGCACTGAGTTGTATAATGTCCGTGCCGTGGCATACTCCAACATTTTTCTCTGGGTAAAATAATTTTTTTATTATTATTATTATTTGGTGAAAAAAATTTTCACCAAAGTGCGTGCCCGGAAAGCCGCAAATACTGAATTGAGTTCTCATTCACTTCTTCTAAATCACAGTAAATTAAATCAAAAAGCCTGTTTTAGCGAACATTTCAAAAATAAGATGTGTGTGTATTTATATATAAAGTAATATAGCTGATACACATATGTTAATATATTACATAAACAAACATGTTAGATGCGATTTATCGATTTGACAGCATTAAATATAAAACTATAATTTGTTGTGATCTACAGTTTCCTACTACCACAGTCTTCTGAGAATACCAGTATAAAAGGAAGCTAACGTAGCACTGAGATTTTAGCGGAAAAGCATACCATAGGAAGTAGTAAGCATGAAACGGTCTGAATTTTTGCCAAATGCCTCAAAGCACTAAAAAATAAGACTGTAATCTGCATTTTAATCTAAAACTGAGTAAGACTGCAGAAGTACAGAGAAACAGAGCTCTAGAAGGCATGATGAATATCAGTCCAGTAAGCAACAGTGGGCAAATCAACCTCTCTCATCCACCCTATCCACACCTTGGCCAAACCCAAAGTAAAAGTATTGCTCATTTCTGCCTTTAAATAACTATTAAATATTTTTGCAAGCAAAGTAAAAAAGAGAATCTAATTTTGGTTTATAATTTAATCTCTGCACTTGTAAGTTGACCTGCTAAAGAAAGACACTGACCAAACTGTAGGTCAGTATGTAAGAAAATGAATAAGTAGAAAGACAGGACAAGAGGACTAAATCCCTTTTTCCCCTAATTGACAAAAAATAAAAAGACCAGATTAAAATCTTGAATGAGAATGAATAAAGGAGAGCAGCACAAATCACAAAATCACAGACATTTAAAACAGTGTGAACTTCTTCCAGTGTGCAGAGGTCAAAAAAGCTTTATGAAATATGCACAGCTAAAGTGAGAGAGAAGAATAGTGCTTTATAATGTTGTGGAATATTAATTTCCAGTTAGGACCCTCTTAAAAAAGATTCAAGACATCACCAGAACATCACAGTCATGCAACACCTGTCATTAACATATTCCATTAAACTTAAAGGGTTAGTTCATGCGACAACAAAATTTGTTCTGTTTGACATAGGCCTAAAATTGTCTTTTGTGAAACACAAAAGAATCAGCAAGACAGCTCCAGTCACCATTCACTTTTAGTGCTATCCTTTTTCCACACAAAGCAAATGCTAAAGCAAGGCTGTCATTCTGCCTAAAAGCTCATAATTTGTCCCACATGTTTTTTGTTTTTATATTTGGGGTCAAATAACACTTGAAATAACAGAAATATAATCATACAATGTATTGGAACTTTTTGTTTAAGAAGGCAAAGCTTGTTCTGCCTTAGTTCTTACTGGTTTCGAAGCTTAAGGATGGTTAACTTAAATGTTCACTGGGCATCTATGTAATAATATCTGACAGAAGTTTAATGATCAACTACAATGGTCAGTTGTTATTTCGGTGCTCAAATCTGAGTGACAGTGCTCGTGCACTTCCTCTAACTTGATTGACAGCACGTCAACAGCGCTCGCGCCCAGCACGCGACCCAATGGAGCTTTCTAGCAAATCCACAAGTACATCACATTAACCATAAAAAAAATCCACGCATTCGGTCTACAAGAAGTAAATATTAAAATAGCCAGAGTCTGAGACTGATTTTCAACAGATACTCTTAGCGTGAGTTATTAGGGAGAAAAGTTAGTAATTCCCATGAGAAAAGCGGTGGACAGACAGCTCCCTCTATATCAACAATAACACGCTGAAAGCTTTCTACAAGAGCTCCACTGCAAAATCATATCTCATGCAACTTTGGCAACGAGAACAGAGGTTAAATGCATAATAACGGCCTCTTGATACAGCAGGTAAGTAGTACGCGTACTTCTGAGGGTACAATAAAATATCCCTACACACTATCCGACTGGAAATTGAGCGAAGCGTTTTACCTTTAGTTCCGCACTCTCCGCCATCTTGTGATTGCTAGCGCAGGCGTGACGCTGTCTGGTCACGTGGTATGCACGCGCTGCTCGTTGCCGGCGTAACCGCTCACATGTTTCTCAACGAGTAGTGCCGCTAAAATGCGTGGAAAACTTCTATCATGTTGGGAGAAATCATGCTACTTAAATGTCATATCGGAAAGTGAAGCCTTTAAAATGCATGCATTCAAATAGATTATATGTATCCAATTGTTTTCAGTCATTACAAAGTATTTCTTTGAATCGGCATTTTGTCTTCTGCTGTATTTTAATGCCCCACAAGTATAAATACATTTCTACAGAGGTGGGTGCACATGCCACCATTGAATTAGTGGATAATCAAATTAAACACACTCTCTGTAATTAAATGGTACCATTGCAGAAGTAGCCTATCACGTGTTTATTAACAATAAACACAGTTTAAATAACTCCCGCAGAAGCTAATTTCATATTCAGATGTATGTTTACCGTCGTCTTTGAGAACGTAATTCAGATCTTCTATGTGAACCATCTTACTTTCATAACTCTGTTTAACAGAATAATGAATTCGAACGCTCCAAATAGAACATGAAGCGGAAAGAACGCTGAATAAACCCCATTGGAAGGTGCATTGTCTGTTTTCACCACTAGATAGAAGTGTTGTATTTCACAACAGTAATAGGCGTGCTCAGTTTGGGCTGTGGGTAAACTGCGCTTGCAGTGTGCAGCTCTATGAATATTAGGCTACTGAACACATTTTAATTTGCAGGCTAAACATATTTCTTGGAAATTATTAACTTTATTGTTTGAAAAGGACCAGTAGGCATAACATATTTAAAAATTGCTGCTCAATATTGACTTGGTAGCCATTGCATATGCAGGCTGTCAGGCAAATGTTTTCAGGCATGTATTTCAGGTGGCCAATAGGCCTGCAGCTTCTGTTTTTTCAATTTGTGTCATAAAATATTTTTCATTTAATTTGTGACAGTTTAAAACTATAACAAATGTGAAGGAAATAGCTTGAAATCACGAGTCAATACTTGCGGCTTTGATTTAACTTTTTATTGAAGAATGAGGCAAGAGATCATTTTATTTTTGACAAAAAAAGAAAGAAAAGAAACACCCCAGAGGTCGTATCACATTTAGTTTGAGCACTGTGATGTGGAATAACAGCTTTTGCTGTATTCTCAATTGTTTATGATAAATATGGGATAAGTGCTTGTTCAAACTTGTGTTTGTTGTATACATAAATATGACATAACAGCTGATTTTGAATAATTTTTGGGTTAAATCATTTTGGATATTGGTCTGACTCTGAAATGTAGCTTATTTAAAGTGCTTAATATTGATGATACATAATTAATTTGGGATAGCACATCAATGAATTCATTTAGAGAAAAACAATTACATGTTAAAAACACATAAATAATGAGAATAATCAATTCCAGTTTATGAAATTTCACATTATACAGTTCATTGCACATTGCCACATATCATGGATTGTATTGTTTTAAAAAAATCAACCTATTTACACAAGTAACAGTATAATTATTTGAACAGTTATTGTAATCCTCTGGTTTGTTTTACTCCGTTTTCCTAATAGAGTAATAGAGACTTTCATCCACAGTAGAACGTTCAAATGCCACTTGCCATGGATGGATTGTGATTCAGCAGTCCTCAGTGTTCAGTGTGCATAAGGTGAACTTCTCAAACAGAGTGTACATGGAGAATTCCTTTAGGGGAGGTTTACAGATGTCACTGGGATCCTGGGATGCAGCTTTAAGTTAAGGTGGTAAGAGGGGCGGCTTAAAAGTGCAGGTCCCTGTGCAGTGGCGTGGAGTGAGCATTTTGCAGGAGAAATGGTGAAGAGCGTCGTGAGCTTCTAGGGAAAAGTTTGATTGAGTTCAAAGAATCACAGCAGCTAAGTCATGCAACAATGACATGCACTGTATGTCTAATACATGAAGATTATAAGCTGTCACACTCCTCTAAAATCATTTATTACACTTAATCAAACACATGTTTTAATGCGTTTTAAATACTTTGAGTAATTCTTTTAAAAAGTAGCACTTGCATATTTATTTTGTAGAACAATGTGAAAAATCTTTTTCATTCCACTTTAATGGATGATATGTATTTGTAGGCTATATTTCTTAATTACCTTTAAGCTTCTGCTGAATTGCATAACGAGCCTTTCTCTCCTGATCCAACTCGTTGCACAATGTGTCTAAATAAAATAAAAAGAAAAATGAATAAATCATTTGAGGTGGTTCACAAACGTTAATTGATTTAGATTACCTGTGACCTAATATTTTCTTTAAAATTCAGTCATTCTGAAAATATGCAAGTGTTACTTTTTCTAAATTGACCTTTTTTTTTTTGTCAATAGTGCAAAATGTATTACCTCGTACAATCTGCAGCTGCTGGACCATCTCTTCTCGATAAGACAGTTCCCTCTTCATTTGATCCTGAAAATTATCTGTTAGAGTCAACACGTGTTAAGTTATAAATTGAAGAAATCATGTAGGCTAGCAAATAGAATCATGTTGTGAATATACTATCCACTTCTTAATTACCTTTCAAACTTTGAAATTCCCGTTCCAGTTTTTTTCTCAACTCCACTTGCTCCAAGAGTTGCTTTTGGAGCTCCTCTGTGGAAACCGACAGAAATCACATAATTGATCATACCACTGTGACTTTTAATCACCACATATCTCAATAGCTTATACAGTATTTTTCAGAAATGGATTTTTATCATGTCTTTTCACTCTCTGTTTGGTTTTCTTGTCTAATAGCGCTATTTAGGTTACTAAGGCTAAACACACGGTCCCCGTGTTCTCAAGCATGACATTGCAAAATAATTAGGACAGTTGCCTGAGGGGTGTGTGGAAAACGAGCCTGGCAATGTGGATCGTCTGCAGTTCAAGGACAATTCTCAGTAATACATAACGATTACACTCATTTTTAAATGCATAATGTGTGCATAAAAGGGGTAAAAATATTTGCCTTAAAAATAGACAATGCCTTGTCGAATCTGTGTTTAAATTATTAATCATACAAATATATTAGCATCCAGTATTTGTAATTGGTCAAGTTATTTTGTAACACCTTAGTTTAGAAAACAATGCAATAACGAAGCTCGAAATTGTCTAGAACGTCTAAATGCAAACTCTCTTGTACCTTTCGCCATGTTTTCGATGTCTTTCTCGAAATTAAATCGGTTATCAGTTCTTCTCAATGCAGCATCGCCTGCTATGACATAAGAAATATGTTGTTATTACAAAGATGTAGGCTAATAATGTAGTTAAACAAAACAAAACAAAAAAACATAAAAAAAACGGACGATAGCCTACAATATTTTCAGATCTGCTACTCACTTGGGTTATCTTTGCTAACGCTAATTTGGTCCGAGGAGGATTTTTGTGATTCACATTCGTCGTCAGTTGAAATGTGTGAATCTAAAATGAAATGTTTTTGTCAGCAGGTCACTCATGAGTGCATAATTCAATAGCCTATATTTTTTTCTCTTTAAATTGATCAAAATAAAAGCTGTTAAAATGATATAGAATATATAAAACTAATGAATTCTAGCCTACATTTAAATCTCAGTTCATTAAATTGCCTCACCATTTGTTTCCGGCACGGCGCGTGGAAGTTTAGAGGCCAAACATGGCAGTGTGATTTGAAGAGATGCTCCCTCCTTTTCATTTGAGTACACCTGCAAAAATTATCCAAACATAAAAAATAAATATATGCATCATTTTCTTTCTTCTTCTCTTTTACGCAGCCATGCGTCAGACAACAGACTGCGTTTAATAGTAGGCCTAGCTACTCTTATAATGATCTACAAACAGGCTATTTGGCAACATCAAGGCAAATTACTCGTATTACAAGGTAAATTTGGTCAGATGGACAGACAAAGAGAATCATTTGTGAAATAACCACAGGGGAACCCTTAGACAAATGCACTAATAGCCCGCGGGCGACAACAGAAATGACCATTAATTCTAAACATTTAATTTACTATAATTACGCACCGCTGTGTTCTTTTATTTAGATCGTTCTACACTAATACACAGAATTCAAACGAGCTGTATCCATAACAACACAAATTACAAAGTGCTTACAAATAGAAAAAAAAATGTAGTCCACATAGGCTCATAAATAGGCGTCATCATCACTCGCTATTAGAGCCAAAAGACTATATCAGGCCATTCGGAGAAATTACTTATTTTATTCAGCCAGCCAATTTGTTGATTCAAAATCGTTTTACGCTAAGCAACTGATGTTTTAATAGTGGATAGATTTAGATGGTTTCAAAACCATTGAATATTATAGTTCATGTGACTCACATCGTAAGCAATGGCATCATTCTTCTTTGCCACCTGCTTGTTCTGTTTGTGTTCAGGGGAGCCCGCATCACTGAAATCGTCCGGCTGCGGCGTTTGACTGTTTTCTCCCACGGGACTTTGCCGATCATCCACAGAAAGTTGTATAGATTCCTCATCGTCGGGAATTCTGTGCGTCTCCACATCCACATCTGGTTCTTCCCCGCTATCCACACACGGAGAGGCTGATCTGTAGCTGGAGCTCTCACTAACAAAGTCTGGCGACAAATGGCCAGGATGAGCTCCGCTGTACGCGTCCCTGTTTCCGTAGAGCTTGGCTATGCTTTCTGCATCTTTAACGACTGGTCTGAACGCAGAAATATAGCTCAACTTTCTGGGGGTGCTGGGCTGACCCTCACTTGACCTGGCCTCGTCCCCAGATTTGTCCTCGTCGTTCCTTAGGGACTGCGAGCTGGAGCAGCGCTCGCTGTCGAACAGACTGTCTCTTGGTGTGTTTCCTCCCCGCTCGCTTTCTGACATTTCAGCTTCGGTTTGCCGGGCACTCATGAGCTCCGTGTGCGGTTTTAGTTGTGGTTGATAGGATGAGAGCGGCAGGCTGCCCGTGGTGGGCCAAAACATGGGGAAAGATGGATAGATACCGTCCTTCGCACCTGGCCAGAACACACCAGGTACATTAGTCTTGTTCTG